GCTAGCTGCAAAGCATAAATCTCCATAGTAACATAATTTAGTCTGCTTTCATGCAACTGAGTCAGGGCTAAATTCAACCAGGATAACTGGAAAATCCCAGTTTAATCCCTTATCTTGCTTTTGTACAATACCCCTCAGGCCCATGTACTATACATAACAATAATAATAATAATAATAATAAAAAAGGCTTTTAGCGTCTTTCCAGAGTTCATGATGAAAATGCAATCCTAAGTGTTCTAACTGTTAGTCTAAATGCATTTAGGACAAATAGCATTTAAATGATCATGTTGCTACCATTTCTGCTTGAACATGTTACACATATCAAATCAATTTGTTTTATACATTTTCATTTCGCAACTTATAAAGCGTTCAAATTTGCATGTGTGGCATAATCAAGTGGAAGGAAATATTAATTAGATTTATCCGACTACGCCACCCTGGTGGGAGGCCAGGGAAATAACTCCCAATAAAAGGACACACAGGTAAATTTCACCAATTGAAGGTAAAGAGACAAGGGAGACGCGAGTATCGATACAAGAAATACACTTTATTATAAAATAACCGGCATCAAATAAAATTCTCTCACGAAACACACCCACAGTGGTAGGAATAGCTTCCGGGGCCAGGATTAATGGGAACAAGGCAGGCCGGCCGCAACTCCGGAGGTCGTCCAAAACCCACCTCAGTTCACAGCAAATCAGATACCACACACACCCGTCCTAGGGAAGTTATATCAGAGCACTCACAGCACACCGTGAAACACCGCCGAATAACGCAGCTAGCCTCCCCTGTTCCACACAAGTCCTCACTGGCCCCTAGAAAGAGAAATATTTATAACGAGACTCAAACGGAAATCATACGAAATATAAGTAAAGACAAACACCAAATAATAATTTTACAGACACTGTGTTGTAGCAGCTTTGACACTCGGGCCTCCAGATGACACACGTACAAAACAGACAGATAACCAGCACCTAAATGGCACTAGAAAACTGAATCCATGAATAAAGAAACACTTTACAGTAAATACATAACCAGAAAAATAAAACAAATGAATACTATAAATATAGCTACAAAATAAAGCAACCCAAATACAAAAGAAACAAAATAGCCGCAAAACTAATCAAACAAATATAGCAACAAATTACTCTGTTGACAAAGGAAATTAAATCAAAGAAATTAAACTAATAGAAAACCCGGCGGACACAATGCCCAGAAGTTAACGTTACAGCCCCCAGCGACTCGCGGAGCCGCAAACCCGTTAACCACACAGATGACCGTACGCGACACGATCAAATAAAACCAAAAAATATCCCTGAGCAAAACAGCAGCGGCATTGCAGGAAGTCCTTTGGCTAGGAATAGGGCTTGGAAATCTTGATATGTCCCCTTTACCTTTAAACAAGGAATACGAGACTAAATCTACATTCACAAAACCCAAACATGAAACACAAAAGAGGCATACTCACGAGTTGTTGAACCAACACCAGACGCACCGCTGTATGGCTACTCACTACCGGTGCCGCAACTCAAGTCTACCGGCCAGCATTCAACTTGCCTTCGTCGCTAGCACGGAGCGCAACAAACAGTAAATACCACGACTAAGGTGGTCATAAAAAGAATCAAAAACCAACCATACCTGCAAGCGAACTCTGCCACGGCTTGCCGCACGCCAACAACACCAGCCCCACTCTAAATTAAACTATAAACAGAGCATATTAACCTCGCAACATACGCATTATTACACCATCAGCCGAAACTCGACGTACCTGGATAGGAAAGGGGAACGGAAACGGAAATGCCAGGGAGAGAGAGAACAAATGTAAATTATATAATTTCATTTTCATTTTGCAACAAACTTTGCACGTACGGGTAATGGAAAATGTAAATTTAAATACAAATAAAATGCCATTTTGAATATTGCGTTGCCATTTTGAATATTGCATTGCCATTTTGCATATTGCATTTTAAATTGAATTTCGCTACCTATATGCTTCCATAGATTGAGGCGGTGTGCGTGGCAGTGAATGTAGATTGCCTGAGGGACCTCTTCTCTGAATTTCTCCTGGACCCCGTTGTGAACACCAGACATCACGGCAGCGCCGTCATAACACTGAGCAGGCAGTGTGATCAATGTTACATTTACTAAGAGTCTCTTTGACAGTAGCAAAAAGCGACTCAGCATCTAACCCGTCAGCTGGAGTAAAATGAAGAAATTCTTTACCTAAACCGGGGCTATTCAAAATTCTGACGGGGCTATAGCCCCCCCTAGCCCCGGTGTAGCGCCGTCACTGAGGAAAATACTGGTTAGCACAGCTTTACTAGGAAAGTAAGCAAGTAACATTAAAATAATTCATACAAGAAGATGAAGAAAAGTGTATACATGTGTTTTAACGTACCTCTGTGACTCTCATCTCCCCGCTGGTCTGCCTCTGCCAGCGGCGCTGCGCCCGGAGGAAAAGACTGGTTAATACAGCTCCACTTGGGAAACAGATATTCTTACGGAAACTTAAACCTGGCTTTATATTGCGCAAATAACATCAGAATACAACGCATCAAGCGATAAAAGAGTCAAAAATGAAAATTAACCTACCATACTCTAGTGGTTTTTCATCTTCAGGAGTCTTTCACAGAGCCGGTGCCGAGGTGTGTGGCTGTTTTTCGCAGTCATTTAGGACTACTGTTTTTAGATTGACTAAATATAGTAGGCAAATATTTTTTCAAAATGCACTGAAAATCTAAACCTGAGAAACAGTAAAATATGATTGGATAAAAGCTCTAATATAAACATACACTGTAGTGATGGGAAGTTCGGATCATTTTACGGACTCGGACCTTTGAGTCTCGTTCAGCAAAATGAACGAATCTTTTTTCGAGTCATTTCGTTCATTTTAGCAAAATATAATTAAAATGCTACGTGTTACTTCCCTAATATGTCTACTACTCATTCATCACGTGACAGCCCCATAAGCTTTAACCAATGCAGTCTGAGCCGGAAAGAGAATTGATTAGTTCATCTCTCGAGTCTTTCGAATCGTTCGTGCTTTTGTCACGTGATGTGACAGCACTGGATAGAGAAATTAGTTAATTAACAAGCTTCCTTACAAACGGCTGCATAGTTATTATTATTATTATTATCATCATTATTATAATTATTATTTACTCTTACAGTTACGTAATGCGTTTCTGGTCTCAAATTGTAGCTTTTTACTTCTTACAGTTTATAAATGTGTGAATTTCTGTCATTATGGTTATTTTCCATAACACTGAATGTTGTAACAAAGGTAATAAAGAGTTGGTTATTATTATTAAGTCTCTTTCCGGCTCAGACAGCATAGGTTAAGCATATGGGTCTGTCACGAAAAATATATTAAACTAAATCAGTGATTCTGATAGTCTTTAGGCCAGCAGAGAAGGCTTTGCTGGCCCTGATGGCCCACCACGGTCTGTAACTCACTTTTTATTGAACCAAGTCCTACCTCCATCACTCATGTTCATCACTGCCCATCCCCCCACCTCTCGTACATTCTCACGAGAACTCCTACAACTATACTACATGCACAAAACTAATAATCATCGTCTAAATATCCGATCGTATGCATTTTGATTCGACTGCTTCAGTTCACCGCACCAAAGCTAATGGGATAATTGGGGTAAAACATGCTTTTCCAGTGCTAACTTACCCCGCTGTCTGTGAAGCCGATATATGCGATCAACTCGTTCAAGCCTCCGCAACATTTCATCAGTAAAAATGATACATCTCCCGCCCTAGCGCTGCGAGCAGGAGTACTCAATAGTTTTATATCGCTGTTAATTTTAGTCTACTATATGCTGCTCTCAGAGCAGGAGCATTCAGAAGTTTCATATCGCTGTTATTTTTAGTCTACTATAGTACACTAAAAATAACAGAGATATGAAACTATTGAATACTCCTGCCCTGAGAGCAGCATATAGTAGACTAAAAATAACAGTGATATGAAACTATTGAATGCTCCTGCTCTGTGAGCAGCACATAGTAGACTAAAAATAACAGCGATATGAAACTACTGAATGCTCCTGCTCTGAGAGCAGCACATAGTAGACTAAAAATAACAGATATGAAACTATTGAATGCTCCTGCTCTCAGAGCAGCACATAGTAGACTAAAAATAGCGATATGAAACTATTGAATGCTCCTACTCTGAGAGCAGCACATAGTACACTAAAAATAACAGAGATATGAAACTATTGAATACTCCTGCCCTGAGAGCAGCATATAGTACACTAAAAATAACAGCAATATGAAACTATTGAATGCTCCTGCTCTGAGAACAGCACATAGTAGACTAAAAATAACAGCGATATGAAACTATTCAATGGTCCTGCTCTGAGAGCAGCACATAGTAGACTAAAAATAACAGCGATATGAAACTTCTGAATGCTCCTGCTCTGAGGGCAGCATATAGTAGACTAAAATTAACAGCGATATTAAACTATTGAGTACTCCTGCTCGCAGCGCTAGGGCGGGAGATGTATAATTTTTACTGATGAAATGTTGCGGAGGCTTGAACGAGTTGATCGCATATATCGGCTTCACAGACAGCAGGGTAAGTTAGCACTGGAAAAGCGTGTTTTACCCCAGTTATCCCATTAGCAGCTTTGGTGCAGCTACTCAAGCTGTGTATGAACATTTTGTCTATACAGTATGTCACAGAAGTGAGTACACCCCTCACATTTTTGTAAATATTTTATTATATCTTTTCATGTGACAACACTGAAGAAATGACACTTTGCTACAATGTAAAGTAGTGAGTGTACAGCTTGTATAACAG